TTTAAGTTGAAATTGGATTGGATAATTTAAGACGATGTGTTTAATAAGGAAAAAATAAGCCGTTTATGGCCTTGTGATATTGTCTAACTTTTTATTAACCATTTTATAGAAAAGTTCATTGAATTGTAAAATTGATATAAAGTAGTGGCACCAATGACCGACAAGAACCAACGATCGACTTTGTTTCTGTGTCCATGAAAATAAGTGTAGGTTACCAATCATTGAATATGGTACTCGTAACACCCAGCTGAAGACACTCGGTGTTACCATATTTAGTGATCGGTATAGAATGAGTTACAGACACTAGGTTTTACCATATTTAATGATCGGTTACCGGTCTAAAATGTACAATAGTACCAACAGAATAATGGTGCTTACAGTACTTGGAGATATTGTGTTTAGTATGCAGAGATCACATTCATCTAACATGTTATAGATATCATTACCTCTTGAGTTTGATGAAAGCCAACCAAATGCAACATGGTGTGCATTCAAATCAACAGCGAACATGATTGGTCTAGGTAACGAATTGATAATCTGATTTAATTTCCCACTATGAAAACTACCACTTCTAGGAAGACTATAAGCATATAATAGTGACAGATCGCCAATGTCAGTTTTCATAATCAGTGACTGTTTGCATAAAATCAAAGCATACTGTTGCTAGTATTGTAAATTTAGACTATTCTTTATTTATTATATTAATATGACGGGTCAGTTATCGGTCTTATTTTCATTGATCATAGAAAAAAAAAGGCTTTCATTGGTGCCACTACCTTAGATAGATTTAAAATCTACTATATAAATGAATGTGTACTTAATCTTAAGCTAAAACCTATAACTTAATCAATGACTATTCAGCCACATATTGAAAATGGAAACTTAACAAAGTACTCAACTAAAAAACTAATAATTGAACGTAGGAAGTACGATGCAACGTAAATTTAACATAATAAAAAACATCTTACAAAGATAAACAATATATTATGTAAATAAAATAAGATTTTATTATTGCAAGGTGTAAACGTAAACTGTTGTGGGTACAACCTACACCATACACCAACTCGGGCTCAACTAGGTGGCCATAACCTGTAGCATGAAAAATAAAACAATATAATGTCTTTAATCAAATTGGATGTATAATACAACTCTTTTGAAACGTCCAAAAAAATGATTTCCCACCTCTCGTTATTGGACATATTTATTAGCTGCGGAGAAAAACAATTAAGCGTGATCAAAACCATCTGTATATCATATCGCGGTGCTCTTTTAATGGGGGTAGGAGGGGAGTATACACACGCAGATATCCCGTCTGTCACAGTATATGCCCAATTAGGCATGTGATATGTTATATAAGGAAGTGTGCAAGAACTGGTATTCTGGTGGGATTGTTTGTTTTAAGTATTTTTGTATGTTTTTATTATGTCTGTTATTTTAACAAAACTCGTTAACCGTGTACACAAGTTTCGCAGCAAAAATTGCCACGATTTAAACGATGTAATGACGCATTTACACTTGTTCGTTAGCCCGAATACGACTACCAATGGAATTCGATTAAACGACTAAGTGTACATGAACAGAGTCGAGTGTGCCCGTATTTAGGTAGTTTTCGTTTTGGTTACCCGTCACCGTCTTCCAGTCCGTGTTTTATTGTAAATATTGTTTCGGGTGCCCGAATTCGAGTAATGTCTTTCGTGCACCCGAATACGGGCTAACAACCAAGTGTAATTGAGCCATTAAGATATCGCTATGGCTCTCCCTTCCGAGTGGCATCCGTGTTGCTCTATGGTGTGGTGCACGTTGTGTCCTACTGTACTGCTTTCAGAACTATGTAAGTTACAGTGCGACTAAGATTTTTTATGGCGCGTGGCCGATATGGATCTTTTAGAAAGGTATAAATAAGTTTTTTATTGATAAAAGATGTTATAAAGGCTTTTATATTACCTTTACCTAGCTGACCCGGCGTACTTCGGCGGCTTTCTTATTTTACGTACTTAGTTCACACGTCACCATTTATTCGTCAGCAACGCACTCCTGTCAATGTCATCTACATTCCAGCCAAGATCTTGGTCGCACTGTAGATTAAAATGGATTCCACAGACATTGTTTCACAGACAACTCATTTAATAACAATTATTGTACCAGAATAATACAAAAGCAAATTTGAAAAAATGCCTTACATTTTATGATGTAAACTTATTTTTCTTTCTAGTAATTACTAATAACTAAAAATCTATCTACCTATCCTACTACTAAGTCTTAATTTAACACAAATAAATCTACAACTAACTATGTACAACTACGCCATTTAGAAGGTGTTGTAACACTCGACTTCTTAGATATTCTTAGTCTAATTAGTAAGCTTTTATATTTAAATCTATACTATTAGTTATATAATCTACTCTAATAGTAATTTGGGTTGGCTGCTCATTGGATTTCAATCCCCCCTTTTCATATCCAACTGTTGGTTTTCCTAAAAATAGTTGTGAAAAATATTAATTTTATGTGGCAGGCCCTATGAAATTAAATATGCGTTAGTAAATGTGTAGTTAAACATACTGTGTCGCACAGTTATAATATAAAAAAACCAGTATTGATTTTAAATTGACTTCCATCACCTCAATAAAATATTACTTTTGTTCAAATTAACAACGGCCAACCGGATGTAAGATAGAAACTTTTTCGTTTGCTGATATTGAATAATGTTAATAAAAAATATTAATTTTTGAACATTTTCTTCTCATTTAAATTATATTTATTTGAGTTATTGAAAATAATTACCCCATACACTTATTAACCGACTGAATCACAAACGTTTTATTATATGTATATATGTCTATTATATTAAAAAAACAAGCTATATTTTATCACTCTGTTGACGAGTTCATCTTGGATGACTTCGATATTAGGTACTTCTTACATTTAAAAGCTAATTTCTTATGTATTATTATGCGTACAGCCGAATCAGTTGGTACCAAGCTAATCTTGAGAAGGTATAAATGTATAAGTAGGTATTATTACCAAAAACTGTAAAACACCAACTACTTCGACTGTATGTCCATTTAAATTTACAAACCTTTTTATTTCCTTATGATCTACTATGATATGATAATTTACTTTTTATTTCCTTATGATCTAATGCTTATTAAAAAAAATATTTACTCTATTAAATGTGTGAATATTCGCAAATTTTATAAAATCCCTTGCATATTTAAAAATCTAGTTTATAATGTTTATGTTTACTTTTAGTTTTAATGTTTTATAACTTATAATTTTTAGCATATATTGTCATATTACCACTTTTAAAAAAAAACCGAAATCTTAAACATTTTTAAAGGAATAAAAAAGATTAACACAATTAGAATATTAGTACCCTTTACCTATTAATTTTGCTTATATTATGGATATACATTATTTGTTTTTTAAATTTCAAATTACTTTTTCTCGCGGTTGAATGTGGGTAGTTGATTTGTGTTTATTATTGAATCCTGTACTTTTGAATCTAATAAAAATATTTGAAAACGTTATTAGTAAAATGGTTATTTAAAACAGTTTCGCCAACTTGTAATCGCCAATAAAATCATTATTGGATTTAATACAAACTTAGCATAAAGATTATAATAAAAATGATATGGTAAGAATTATATTCTTATAATATAAAAAGCTTTAGACACATACCTAAATTAACGATAGTCAAACATATTATTATCACAAATAAATACAAGAATAAAACGATATAATAAATGTGGCCAACTTTTAACTTAAAAAAACATAAAGATTATATAATATTAAATTCAAAGTTTAAAGAATATGTTTAATTCTATGATAGGTACTTATATTGAAAAATTAACAGACATTCAATGCCAATTTTATTTTTTTTGATTCGTCACTACACTCATCAAAATTTATCAACACACTCAGAGATGTCAATTATTTTAAACGTAAGCTTTAATTTGACACTGTCGACTGCATAATAAGACAACACGTCACTTTAACGACCATTAGATTTGATTAACATCTCTGAGTTTGAGCGAACCTTAGAATAATTATTCTTAATTACTAACGTTACATTGTCCAAGACAGAAAATTGAGATAGAAAAATATTTACAAATAGAAAAATATTTTAGAATTCACTTTTCCATAACATTGGTTTTCATTTTAAACAATGCCATATGAAAAGGGTCGTTTCATTTTTAATCATCTCATATTTAAAATATGACAATATAAACCAGTTGTAAATATTAGGATAAATAATATATTATGTGCTCTTTTCCCAAGTGGAAACTATATTACGGAAAGTTTTGCCTCATTATAATTAATGGTGATTGAACACTTCGAAAACCAATGGTATTCTATACCCTTCTGTGCGACATTACCCTTGCGTTAGTAACAGTTTTGAGATTATCAAAAATTCTTTAATATCAAATATCATTGATATTGATACATTAAATTATATAAATACGAGGGACATTGAATTCCTTTACAATTCTGCGTGATATGGTGGAGAAAAGTGTTAATAGGTGTGTGTGTGTGTGTATATATACACTCCCGGACATATCTATCGGTACACTTTTGAGTTTCAATGGTCAAATACAAAAATAATATGTTAGGTTGAGCAATAATAATAAATAGATGGTTAATGAATCAGCTTCAAAACTGAGTAAAAAGTTTTTGCTAAATGTAACATAATTTTTAGCTAGGGGCCGTCAAAAAAAATAACTAAAAAACTACGATATGCGTTAAAACTAAAATGTTAGGTAGGCCTATGGATGTGTCTGGAAGTATTATATATTGTGCTTAGCTATTATTTTTTGAAAATTATTTCCTTTGGACGTGCCTATTGATTGTTAACACCATATTAATCATATCAACAAAAGCAGGCACCAATCAAGTGCTAAATAATTTAGAATAAAGGCACAAACAACACGTCAGCCTACAGATTTGTGCACTTCATTTTGAACTTAGATCTATCCCAGTAGGGTAGAAAATGAATTTCGTATTCTCTAAAAAGCAGCTGTGTGTAAAACCACACATTAAGACAATAAAAACGTCTCTTTATTAATAACTCTCTCTAATAACCCAACCATCCCTCGTAGTTATAGTACAAATTTATCAGTACATATATATTTAGTTGAAAATCATGCCTAACGTTAGTACAATATGCACACAGAATTCCCGCCAAATATCTCGAATAGTTTCAATAAAAAGTAAAATTAGACAACATTGTTGATTATTTACGGAATATGGCAACATTGCAAGTGTATTCGACAGTGTTGCCACCTAAAAAGGCTTTGCTTCCTCCTGTTTGATGACTCCTATTTCCTGCAGCATAGCGTCTATCCCCTCGGGCATGCGGCCCTGATCCAACTCGAGATTCCATTTGTAATACTGTAAATTATACATAAATAAATAATATTATAATTTTAAGTATTAAATAAGAAACAAGAATAAGATCCGCTTGATGGTAAACGGCTAAACATCGCCTGTCATATTCTCGATCAGTAGCGCCATCTCTTGACATAGCGAGTAAAGTCTTGCTTCGTTTAATTCTATGCGAGGCCTGCAGATGTCACCGCTACATCAGGATCTTAATCTTTAGAGTTGACACTCGGTATATCGTGATCGTCATAATTGTCCCTTCTACTCTAACTTCTATAGTTTTTAATACCATTACACTAATATTCTAAAGGCGAAGGTTTGTGAGTGTGTATGTTTGTGATTTCTTCACGTCCAAACGGCTGAAGCGATTTTAATAAAATTTGGTTTGGAGTTAGCTGACACCCTGGATTAACACATAGGCTACGTTTTACTCCGGGAAAATATCTTACTCCCATGGGAAAAACACCATTATTTTCCCTAATAAACCGCGAGTAACACCTCGGGACAAAGCTAGTACAGTATATAGGACACGACATGACAAACGAAGTTGACGATACATTGAATGTCGATTTTAAAAGTAGGTACGCCCTAAGTATTGTCGCAACTGGACCCAATTTATACTTAAAATTAAGAAGGCTAGGATTATTGGCTGGGAATTATAATGAAACTCGGCATGGCATGGGGAGCTCAATAGCGCAAGTAGTTAGAGCGTTGTCCGGCCAGTGATCTTGAAAGTTAAGCAACTTTCGTAATGGCCTGCCATTGGATAGGCGACAAAACATTTTATAAATCGAGCTCACCGTGCTTGGAAAGGTAGGTTAAGCCGTTGGTCAAGGCTACATCCAACAATAGGCTATTTGACAGTATGTAAAATAATGTACCAACTGTTGGCATCTGTATTTAATATAAATTAATATTAGCAACGATTTAACTATTTTAAAGGAACAAATAATTAATAACTTTTCTATAAAATCATTAAATAGAAATGATATTTTAGCTCCATGGTCACGTGACTGAAAACGCCTGGGATTGGCCAAGACTAAAATGACGTCACACGCTAGTATACTTCCAGTTAAAGTGACATTACATTGTATCGTTTGTCGTTTTAATGACAGTCGTGTCACGTCAGACACAAGAGAAACGCCATTATTTCCAGTGAAACGTTTTCGCAGCAACTTGTAAATTTTATATTTTAATTTAGTTTATTTCACTGAATTACACAACAGAATTAAAATATCCACTTTTTATGGAATCAATAACGTGAGAACGTTTTCTAGAACTTGTCAAATACCCTATTCGCATTCGGACTGCGTAGTAGTCATGCATGCCCCAATCTCCCTATTCCGTTGAAGTCCTGTACTGCACATGACTTGGAAATTAATAGGCTAATGATGACAATGATATAAAAAAGATATGGTTCAAATTGCGATTCAAACTTTATGACGGCTGTGAAACTCGGCACGCCCGAGCCGACTGGCGGCTGCGTTCTGAAGCCTCAGCAGTGGGGACATTAATAGGCTGATGATGATGATATAAATAAAAGATATATAACCTTGCCAAGCTCTTTCCTTAGAGCTATGACCGCGCTCTCTCTGTCTGTTTGCCACGGGCTCCTCAAGATATTGGTACAGCAGTTTCTTTCAAGTGCGACACTCACGAACCACTGGTAGCTGCGTTCTGAAGCCTCAGCAATGGGGACATTAATAGGCTGATAAGAACAGAGTAAGTTTACCTCGTCAAGCTCCTTCCTGAAAGCTATGACCGAGCGCTCTCTGTCTGCCACCATATCTCCGAGATATTGGTAGCCGAGTTTCTTCCGAGCACGGTTCTCGCGCGCCGACTTGCGGTTGCGATCTGAAGCCTCAGCAGTGAGGACATTAATAGGCGTACGAGTATATTGATGTGATGATATAAATAACGAATAGTTTACCTTGTCAAGCTCTTTCCTGATAGCTATGGCTGAGCCACCGCCACTGTCCGCCACCAGCTGCTCGAGATATTGGTAGCAGAGTATTTTCCAAGCGTGGGACTCGCGCGTCGTCTTGTGGCTGCGATCTGAAGCCTCAGCAGTGGGAACATTAATAGGCTGATGATGATGATATAAAGAACAGATGTTACCTTATCAAGCTCCTTCCTGAGAGCTATGACAGAGCGCTCTCTGTCTGCCACCAGCTCTTCGAGATATTGGTAGCGGAGCTTCTTCCGAGCGCGGCATTCGCGAGCCGACTGGCGACTGCGTTCTGAAATTAATACATTTTAAATAAATAAATATCGAACCTTGGGACAAATTCAAGTATTAGAGGGCAAAATAAACTAGTCCATACATCCTCTTCTTTACGAGCTTATCTCTTTTGTTTTTCATGTTTTTATCAGAATACGGTTGTATGGCATTTAACACGAAATATATCGAGTCAGCTTACTCTATAAAATTCTGTGCCATATACAACTTTTACTTGACCAAATTAGTGTGTGATCCCTGTCAAACTGTAAAGTCTGTCAAACTGTAAAAGTTAAACTGGGCAGATAAGTGAGCCAAAGATGAAGCGATCGTGCAGTCAATTGTTCATTTAGTTAGACATAAGCTACACTACTACTTTCACTCTTTCTAGAAAGTTGTCAATTTCATGCAAGTGTAGCTCAGTCCTATGCCAAATAGTACAACTCACCGAGTTTGGCCTTCATGTTTTGTTTTTCAGCCTCCTTCCTTCTATTGCTGAACTCCTACAATACAACAGCTCCCTGTATCTGGCCCATGGGTATTGCTCAATTAGTTTGGCCTTCATATTTTGTTTGTAGACCTCCTTCTTTATGTTGCTGAACTCTTACAATACAGCAGCTCCCTGTATCTGGTCCGTGGGTATTGCTCACCTAGTTTGGCCTTCATATTTTGTTTATATACCTCCTTCCTTCTGTTGCTGAACTCTTACAATACAACAGCTCACTGTATCTGGTCCGTGGATAATGCTCACCTAGTTTGGCCTTCATGTCTTGTTTGTCGACCTCCTTCCTTCTGTTGCTAAACTCCTACAAAACAACAGCTCCCTGTATCTGGTCCTTAGGCATTGCTCACCCTACTACCTAGTTTGGCTTTCGTGTCTTGTTTGTAGACCTCCTTCCTTCCGTTGTTAGACTCCGACAATACCGCAACTTCTCCCTGTATCTGGTCCGTGGGTATTGCTCACCTAGTTTGGTATTCATGTTTAGTTTGTAGACCTCCTACCTTCTGTTACAACTCCTACAATACAGCAGCTCCCTGTATCTGGTCCGTGGATATTGCTCACCTAATTTATTCTTCATATCTTGCTTATCAAGCTCCGTCCCCCCGTTGTTAAGACTCCTACAACACCGCAGCTTCTCCCTGTATCTACTTCGCAGATATTGATCACCTAGTTTGGCCTTCGTGTCTTGTTCGTCGACATCCTTCCTTCTCTTGCTGAACTCCTACAATACAGCAGCTCCCTGTATCTGGTCCATGGGTATTGCTCACCTAGTTTGGCCTTCATGTCTTGCTTGTCGAGCTGCGCCTTCCTGCCGGGCCGGCGACCTCGCTTGCCGCTCTCGCGCCGCTCGCCGCCCTCAGCGCCCGACGCGCCCAGCGACCCGAACAGGCTACTTCCGTGGTTGGACTCCTGCGCACAACGGTAATAAATTTAAACTGATATCTGATTCTCACACCAATAGGGACGATAACAATTTTTTTTTCGTTTATCAGGTAGATATTGTTACTGAAAAAGTAAAACAAATTATAACTTAGATTTATTGATTTGAAATGTCGCACGAAGTCTACTTCAAAAGTGGAATAAAGTGGAAGGTTTAGATATTATCTAAGTGGGCGACGCTTCAATCCAGAAGTTTGCAGCCAAAAAATTCTATAAGTGCCTCAAGTACTTCATAAAAGTAAAACCCTATTGCAATAATAAGGAATTTGAGTGATTCAAAGATGTTTTGGAGTAATTAGAATCATGGAATTGTCTCACTACCAGCGATTCACGAGAAGTGCTTAAATTATACTAAATCCAAAGGGGAATTAGCATAAGTATAAAAACAGTTTAAATAAACATTACTTTCTCCTATTTTTTTCACTTTCTTTTTAGCACAAATCTTAAGAGAAAATCATTTTTTTTTATAAGAGGTATGTACATTAATTGTAAAAAAAAGAAATACGTACGTGCTCTATATCAGATACAAGAAAATGTATAAAAAAAACTTCTATAAACGGAGAAAATGAAAAAAAAAAACAGTTAAAATTTTCAACACACTTTTTCAAAAGCGAGTAGTTTAACCGCGTTTTATTTAGGATCGCTAAAAATAATTACCGACTTAAACAGTACATGTGCGACGACCACTGAGTCACCATTAACACTAGAAAACCCCTCAATTGATATGGCGACTAGGTATTTATAGGTACTTTTATAATCATATGTTAATAAAGATAATTATATGAAATTGACGACGCAACCAAACACGAATTTTTTTTTTGAGCTCCGTATGTATATCGTCAAAATTTCTATGAAAACAAAGCAGTGCACCTATCGGACGTAAGAACAACTAGCTTTTTCCATACAAAATTTGACGTAGGCGATACGTTACGGAACTGTCATAACTTCGTTTAACTCTTGCTTGGGCCTCAGTGGACAGCCGAAACTTGACTCAAGTGTTCCGAACGAAATATCTTTCAAAACAAATGAAGTTATCTTCACACACAAGTTTGTAGTACTCGTAAATAACACGCCCGCTTGCGCACACATAAAAATCAAGATAAAGTATAGCCCAAGGCGAACCGATAAAGCCACATAAGGAGGCACAATAACAACTTTGCACGAGTTCATTGACCCCAAAACTTGGAGAGAAAACACGCTCAATATTCTTCGCAACGCAATAACATGAATAACTGAAGGTCAGACTTGCGTTTTGTTTGTCTATTAATTATTTTTAAATTTTAGTAGGACGTTAGGAAGCGTGAGAGTGTGAGAGGATACGTACACCTATGTATATATTATATATATGATTTGTGGGTTTTAGAGGAAAGTTTAGTTTCCGACGTCACCTACGTCGGAAACTGACCGACGCACATAGGGGTATTTTGCTGATCTGGGGTTTAAATTATTAAGTATTTTTATTCCGGGGAGTTTCCCTGGTTAACTAAGTCATTTTAATTATTTTTTTATGAATAGTAACAAAATATTTGGAAAAAATATTTTAGTAATTTATGCTTTATATTTTTGTTATTTTGTTAAAAAAAAATTAAAATGTATGTAGCTATTATGATGGTGAGTTCCATGGTTCTTAATCGTCCTCATCACTATCACTGTCCCCAGACACCAACTCCTGAATCATAATCTAGGTAACCTAGCGTAACAATTTCATAAGTCCATATCCAAATGTATATAGTATTTTGTTGCTAATTTGTTGCTATTTTGTGCTGCAAGAATTGATTTTGTTGCTCCAAGATTTCTCCGAAAAACGCCTGTTACGCTAGCGAAACCACAGCGATATCTCGGAGGCAAAAGCAGTTAGAGATATCAGATGAACGGCATATTTTGTTGCTGTAAGATAAGCTGGTTAGATATGAAAAAATATAAGGCCTTCATGGGGGGCTAACTACCCTTATTCTTAGATATCTCAGATTTTTCGTATCTCGTGAACTAAAGCAGCTAGTGGCACGAGACAAACGGCGTATTTTGTTGTTATAAGATAGGTATGCTGCGTATATCGTAATCACAACCCTTATCGGGGTATGACCAACCCGGGGGTTGGTCATAGTCCAAGACACCAATATTTCGTATCTCGTGAGCTAAAGCAGCTAGCGACCCGAGACCAACGGCGTATTTTGTTGCTATTAGATAGGCATGCTGCGTACATCATATTCACAACCCTTATCGGGGTATGACCAACCTTTGTCTTCGGGGTCGGGCCCCGAAGACACCAGATATTTCGTATCTCGTGAGCTAAAGCAGCTAGCGACCCGATCTGGTATCTTCGGGGTCGGGGGTTGGTCATATCATACCCCGATAAGGGTTGTGATTATCATGTACGCAGCATGCCTATCTTATAGCCACAAAATACGCCGTTGGTCTCCGGTCGCTAGCTGCTTTAGCTCACGAGTAGGAATGCAAAGTCTTTTGAAATATCGATATTTATATCGAAGTCAGGAAAATATCGATATCCGATATATCGACCATTTTAACTCGATATTATCGATATATCGATATTTTTTCCTTTTTATTTTTTATTGACATTAGAATACGGGGTGAGTGTGACACATTCATATGTTTGTTGGCGAGTTTCTCGCAAAATGCATTGAGCCAGCTTTTTCGTTAAACACGCTTGATGAAATCGCGCCAAGCAGGATTTTTTTTTATTGGCTCGCACGGTTTGTGTTTCAGCCACGACAGGAAACCAAAAAATTAAAATTATTATCCTGATCAGATCACTCACATTCGTTAGCGCGAATGCGCCAACCCGCATACGTGGAAAGACATTTGCGAATGCCTTCGCTAAGTTTTCACTACATTCGTGCTTTTCCAAGCTATGTCGGTTTTTTAGCGCACATCAAATACGCAAATTGCTTAGTCTCCCACACATCAGCTGCGTGCCCATGGCTTCAGAATAGGGTAAGCCCAAAGCTTCCAAAATTACTATACCTATCTTACTTTCTTGACTTGGCGAGCTTAAAACGATTTGTATAAGATTCTTAATTTTATTTTGTGTTATATTACAATGATATTAAATTACAATTAATCAGTAGTTGACAATTATCTAGAAAGAGAGGCAAGGATTTTATTTAAGTGCATGAGTTACCATTAGGTATACGATTTTACCTATAATATACGTTGGTGTCGATTCTGGCATGATTATCTAAACTTAAAACTAAATTTAACATCAGTCTCTCCTTTTCATTCTGTATAAAGAATGATAAGGATACACTGTTGTCAAATTTAATTTTAGATTTAGAGAATCATGCCAGAATCCACACCAGTTTAGTATATTTCTTGGGGTTCAAGATTTTTTTAATACATCTATAAGCTCTTGCGATTTCAAAGCAATAGTTATTTCGATATTATTCAATTTAGATAGTCATAGCAGGTAAATTAATTGATATTATTGTGTTCAAATTTAGTCTACGAAATATCGATATTTTGGAATTTCCGATATCGATATTATCGATATCAGTGAATTTTAAATATCGATATTTTGGACTCGATATTCCGATATATCGTTGCAACCCTACTCACGAGATACGAAATATTTGGTGTCTTGGGGTCGGGGGTTGGTCATACCCCGATAAGGATTGTAATTATGATGTCCTCAGCATGCCTATCTTATAGCAACAAAATATGCCGTTGGTCTCGGGTCGCTAGCTGCTTTAGCTCACGAGATACGAAATATCTGGTGTCTTCGGGGTCGGGGGTTGGTCATACCCCGATGAGGGTTGTGAATATGATGTACGCAGCATGCCTATCTAATAGCAACAAAATACGCCGTTGGTCTCAAAGTTGCATTGTCCCATAATGCTGGTAACCATAAAGATGTGGAATAGTTGCCATTTGGTCCCATAAACATTTTAATCAGTTTGGCCTAGAAGTTTTTGACGTGACATGTCACGTTCCGCGGTGTGTGTGACTGACTCGGATCCCGATAAAGCTAAGGAGGCGTGTTTAGGCTCAAACGAATCGGAACAAAAGTAAAACTACCCCGAGGATAACGGCGAACGACACGTTATCACGTAAAATTATCGTCCGTAAACTGGCTTTACCCACAACTGTTTTTATTTTATGAGTATTTTGCTAATTTGGGCGATGTAATTTTCACGATACTCTTAGTACCTACAACTGTTTTAGCCATTTTGATGTGTAGATGCTTTACATTAAAATAGATAAAATTATTTATAAACAAAAATCCAAAATCTACTTCAAGAACGAAACTTTTTTTGTTTAAAAAAAATTTTTTTCTTCATTTATTCTGCCTCGGAGTTGCCTATCGGTATCTACCAAAAAACCAAAATCTACTTCAAGAACGAAACTTTTTTTGTTTATTTTTTCTTCATTTATTCTAACCATAAACCATATACACTGAATGATTTTGAGGTTATTATGAAAAATGCGAATAACCGAGTTTTTGGTATTTGATTTTTATTTTTTGCAAAAAAAAATATTTTTTCACGAAATTTGGTGAAAACTTACCTTTGTATGTCCCAAACATACAGTAATTTTTTTTGATTTAAAATATTCATTTTTTCACCTTATTTTGACTTAATATCCAAAAAGCACCCTAATTTTCAATCGAAAATTCTCACGTCAAAATATCTGCTTTTTTAAAAAAGTTGGGGTGTTTTTTGTTTATTGAAATCTCTACTTTCTGATGGTATAAAAAAAATATACACTACTATGATAAATGTTCTCAGAAAATGCAAATTAATAATGAAAAGAACTCGAAAACTTTTTTTCATAGGACTTGCAGTTTTACCGGAAATCGACCTTTAAAAACTCACCCCCTCCCCCTTCCCGACCTCAGATCGCCCGTAATTTATTTTTCCTTTCATTTTTGTTATATTCTCTACCTTTTCTTATGGGTTTCATCCTACTATAATTTTTTTTGGTCTCAAAAATTATCGACCCTTGTCTAGAAG